TTCGCCATCACTGCTCTAGGGTGATAAATGAAATATATGAGTCTATTTTTTTCTGTCTTTGAGTTGTGGATAGATTTAGATAAATTTGTGAGTTTTTGTATATACTAGGTGTACCGGTTAATAATGAGGATTTTTTCAATAGATGGAGTTACACATGTTTATATATATGCGATGATATGTATGCTATTTTGTTGTATTGCTCCTTCAGATTACCACTTGTTCTGATTGATGGCACACGCACTTTCTGAGCAGCACTCCAAAACGTATGAAGAAGTGGAAAATTGGGTCTCTGAATGGTCTGCCTCAAAACAACACCAATTCTATTGGGACGGTATCCACAAATTACCTGAAAGAAGGGGGAATGTGTAGCTAGCGATGGACATTACTTGAATAAAGCACTTTTGATGTTTCTCTTGAAATTATCGTGTTTTCTTTGGATTACAAAATCCACATTACAGTTAATAATATGGATTAAGTATTAACCAGTTAATAGTGGGGATTAATTATTAACTGATTAATGCAGATTAACTGTTAACCGGTTAATAGTGAGGATTAACTATTAGCATGTTAATAATGCGGATTAACTGTTAACCGGTTAAAGTGCAGATTAATTATTAACCAGTTAATAGTGTGGATTAATTATTAGCCAATTAATAATGCAAATTGTTAACTGGTTGATAGTGCGGTTTAACTATTAACCGATTAATAATGCAGATTTTGTAATCCAAAGAAAACACGATAATTTCAAGAGAAACATCAAAAGTGCTTTATTCAAAATAATGTCCATCGCTAGCTACACATTTCCCCCATCTTTCAGGTAATCTGTGGATACCGTCCCAATAGAACTTTTCTTATTTTGAGGCAAACCATTCAGAGACCCAATTTTCCACTGCTTAATACGTTTTGAAGTGCTGCTCAGAAAATGCATGTGCCATCGATCAGAACAAGTGGGAATCTGAAGGAGCAAGGTCTGGTGAATACAGCGGGTGGGTTAATACTTCCCAGGCAAGATCTTTTAACGTGTCCTTTTTTTTTTGTATTTATTTTTTTTAAATCATTTTATTGCTTAAAGTATTACAAAGAGTATTACATATGTCTCCTTTTTCCCTCCCCGCCCCTTTTAACGTGTCTTTAACTGGTTTTGAAGTGTGTGATGGTGCGTCATCATGGAGCAAAATTACTTTGCCGTGCCTTCTGGCCCATTCTGGTCATTTCAGGATCAAAGCATGGTTCAAATTGATTATTTGTTGTCGGTAGCAATCAGTATTAATGGTTCACCAGGTTTTAGAAACTCATAATACACCACACCTTCCTGACCCCACCAAACGCAGAGCATTGTCTTCTCCGAAGCAGTTTGGCCTTGCAGTCAATGTTGATGGTTGACCTGGATCAACCCATGATTTTGTGCGTTTGGGATTCTCAAAATAAATCCACTTTTCATCGCCAGTCACAATTCAATGCAAAAAAGACTTTCTTTCCTGCTGTTGAAACAACATTTTACTGATGATTTTTTGTTTTTCCATTTGTCTTTCATTCAGTTGATGTGGCACCCATAACTTTCAGCAGCACTTTTCTTTAAAATAAAGTATTGCTCTCTTTTTTTGGCATGAAATTTGACATTTTTAACTGTAAAAATATCTATGATGTTAACACCTTCAGGAGATTTAACATATGAAGTTTTGAAGCTTGTTTTCAATACAACAAAACAGCATACATATCAAATCGCATATATATCAACATATGTGCAACTCCATCTATTGAAAAAAAATCTGCATATTAACTGGTACATCCAGTAAGTGTCTTTTTTTTCTATGCTGTCTGCTTTATTATATTATAACCCAAATTTAAGTACTCTAATTCCCAAACAGATTCAGTTGTCTGAGAAATTCATGTTATAACTTTTTACCTGTTACTTTTATCAGGTAATAGAAAAGACCAATAAATGACAGTAATTGGGAACCTGACCTAAAGCGGAAAACCAGTTTTCAGCATAGAACTCATGAAAGTAATCAGTTAAAACATGGAAAACAGGTTTTCAGCATAGAGCTGGGAAGCAAATCCAATTCTGCCATTACTGCATGCGTTCAGCAATTATTTATGGCTCACCGACTCTGTTCTTTCTGATAAGCTTCTGTGATAGGAATGACATGCCTTAATAGGGTTTTACATTAGTAAATGCATCAAGAAAGAAAATGACATCTACTGCCTTTGATGTTTAGATCACATATTTTAAAAAGTGACGTGCACATTGTTTTTGGAGTATTTTTGTCCTTTTCTCAAATGATTGCTAAATTTGTTACTTTTATAAATAGCAGGTGAATGTTGTGGAACACAGAGACATATCAGTAAGAACATTATGTTTTTATTTAAACGTAATATTCTACTTAAGATGATATTTAAATACTGCCCATCCATCATTACACTTTTTTCTCAGCTAGTATATTGCCGAGGGTCGTTCTCCTAATTGTTTTTAAAGCCCAAGTAGTATTTGAGGCTCTACTCCATGCCCACAGGAAATGGAGGTGAACCTCAGATTTAATCAGAGTTAGCTTTAGTGACTCTGAATCAAAATCTGGGTGGGAGGCTTCAAGTCTTTTCTTGTTTTATTATGGAGAGGTCTGAAGAGTTCTGGAGCAGGGACCAGAGTAATGAGGGGAGAGGAGAGTGGTGGCTCCCGCTGTTTATCACTTGGTATGGAAGGATTTTAATCTAGGTCAGCCCAGAGCCACCCTGTTCTACCTCTTTTGTTAAGAGGAGCTAACCTTCCTAAGAGTTGTGTTCCATCAAGTGCCTGCTGCTGGACCTAACTCTGCTTCTTCTCCTGCGAGATGACCTAACACAGTTGGCAATGATGACAACTAACTCACATTTTTCTCTTCGGGGTCAGGCTTCCTTTTCTTCTCTGGCAGAAATATTACAATATTACAACATACAAAAATTTGCTACATTTTTTCGGTGTGAAGCAAGGCATAACGACTGGAAAAAAAAGTTCCTATGAACTAGTTTTCTCCTCTTAGGTATATTAGTACTTGCATTGTCTCATAAATATCGAAAAGACCCACGCTTTAGGTATTCTCCAAGTCCAAGTATATCAACTCCTTTTATTTACAAATGAAGAGGGCAGTATTTCATTCATGATGACATTCATTCAGCAAATATTTATTGAGAAACTTCTATGAGCCAGACAATGTTCTGGAGATAAAGCAATGAGCAAAATAGGAAGGAAAAACATCTTGGCCCTTATGGTCAACCGTAGCAGAAGCAAATGGTAAACAAGGTAAATAAGCCAAGTACATGGAATGTTAGAAAACTATTAAATGCTATTCATAAAGATCAATCGGGGAAGAAGGACAGGAAGTGAAGGGGGGTCAATGAGGAACTCATTGAAAAGGTGGCATTTGAGAAATGACCTGAAGAAAATGAGGGAGTAAGACATGACGTTTTTAGAAGAGTATTTTAGGCACAGAGAGCAGCAAATGCAACACTCTGGCACATCTGAGGAGCTGCAGGAAGGCTAGTGTGTCTGGCCTGGAGTGAGACTACATAATAGAAGGAGATGGTTAGAGGGCGCTAGGGTCCAGGCGGCCAATTGCCTTAGAAGTCATTACAAGGACTTTGGCTATTATTTGTCAATTGGGAAACTATTAGCAGGTTTTGAACAAAGTGACCTAATCTGACTTATGTTTTAACAGGATCCTTTTGCTGCTATGTTGAGAAAGTACTGTAAGAAAGCAATGTGGCAGCAGAGTCCAATTAGCAAGTTGTTGATGATAATTTGGACTATGTGTAGCCATGGAGCTTGGTGAGGCAATAAGATGTTATGAATGTGAAATGTGAGAGAGGGGAGATGAGGGTGACTCCAAAGTCACTGGCCTGAACAAATGGAAGAATGACCTGCTCTTTATTGAAACAGAGAAAACTATGAGAGCAGGGTTAGTTTTGATAGAAGAGGGTAGAGGAAGGGTTATCAGAATCTCATTTCCAGACCTGCCAAGTTTGAAATGGTCTTAGATATTAAGTGGAGATGAGATAGAGGCCCAGAGAGAGAGAGAGAGAGAGAGAGAGAGAGAACAGAAGATTACCAAGAGAGTGAGCACAGATACTGAAGAGAATATGCGTGTCTAAGAATTGATATGAAAAGCAACCAACAAAGAAAACAGAGTTCAGATCTGTGAGAATAAGAAATGTGGTAAACAGGAAGTATAAGAGAAAGGATTCTAAGAGTGGTCAACTCTGTTTAATGCTGCTAACAGGTCAAACAAATTAGTTCTAGGAAGTAACCACTGATTTAGTTGTAGTGAAGGTCATTGAGGACTTTGATAGAAACAGTTTTAATGGATCAAAGGTTGGGGTAATCTGATTGGAAAGGTTCAAGTGGGAGGTGAGAAATTGGAGACAAAAACTATGAATAACTCTGTTAAGTAGAAAGAGACAGCAAGGGGACATGGCTCTGGCCAGCCTGATGAGGCAGGATTGTCATAGGGTCTGCTGACAATCACATGAGCGTGAGCATTAGCTGTGCATAGAGTTGTGACCTCAAATGACCTTGCGTAGGCTAGACATATAGATTTTTGAAATGTTTGTCATTGATACATTCATGCTAAAAAGAGAAATATTAATCAAGCAAGCTCCCTTAATGTACAAATATTCTTCCCTTTTTTAGCTCTTATTTTATGTCCAACATTTTCTCCAGATTCTTCTTTAAAAGTTAGTTTTTAACGGTATCATTCAGGACTCCTACACTATGATTCTTTGTTTGCATACCAGTCTCTCGTCCTGGCCTAAGTTTCTTGAGAAGGCCCATATTCAACTTTTCTTTACATATCCATCTCATAGCCCAGCTCCTGGCACATGGCGGACACTCCATTTATGTTTTTTGAATGAGTGACTTTTATGTTCCATATTGTCATAGGATGTGTTTGAGGTCAAATTAGTGTCTTCCTAAAGTTTGCTATTAATTTCCAAATAGAAATTGTGCTTGGTCATTTTGTTTTCCATAGAGTTCCTGTGGAGCAGACGTAGTGAGGACAGGCTCTCTGAAGCTCAGTAGCACATCCATTGGGAACTCATCTTTGAAAAGGACAAAGCGAAAGGCACCTTCCCCACCCTCCCAAATACCCCTGCATCAAAGTGATGAAAGCCACATGACTGGTAATGTTACTTTTCCCATTAACATTACATTTGTATTGTGTTTTGTTTAATATAGACAGTAAAAATGATATGTTACTAGTGGCCCAGTGCACGAAATTTGTGCATGGGGGGAGGGGTGTCCCTCAGCCCAGCCTACACCCTCTCGCAATCTGGGACTGCTGGCTCCTAACTGCTGACCTACCTGCCTGCCTGATTGCCCCTAACCACTCTGCCTGCCAGCCTTCTTGCCCCCAACTGCCCCCCCTGTCAGCCTGCTCACCCCCAACCGCCCCCCCACCCCCTGCTGGCCTGATCACTCCCAACTGCCCTCTCCTCCAGGCCTGATCACCCCTAACCACCTCTGCCTTGGCCCCAACACCATGGCTTTGTCCGGAAGGACGTCCGGATGGTCTCCTGGTCTAATTAGCACATTACCCTTTTATTAGTATAGATAAATCATGTCTTTTTATTAACAATAATAGTTAAACTTAGGCTTTTAGTTAAGTTTAATAATAACACTTAGCCCCTAATTATTCTCACTTAACTACCTTTTAAAAATCCGCAACATGACAAAATGAAATGAAAGGATTGTGCAGCTCCATGATCCTAATGAATATGTGATGATTTGTAAATCTGTTCACAAAGATGCAGCCATTCAGGATTGACTACATGTAGGAATGGAAATCTAAGTAGGTTAGTAAAATGGCTGTCTCTTTCGGAATTATATAAAAGTAAGCTACTAAGGCATTGTTTCTTTTGTAAGTGTGACTTGTTTCCAATTTGTGCTGCTTCTGTGTTCTAGCTCTGCGGTCAGTGCCTGCGGTTCCGACGGACAGTGTTTCAGAAGCAAGCTCTCCTGAGGGGCTGCCCAGCCCAGGTGTGTATTCACCTTTACTCCATATCATGGAATTAAGGTGAAGGATCTTTTATGACAATTGAGGAATAAATCGGGTATAATGTTCTGTATATGAAAGGGATACAAATGCTTTGACTCCATTTCCCAGATTTTATTTTATGAAATGAAAATATTTTTCCCTGGGGTCAGGGCATGAAATAAGCACACTCAAAATTTTAGGTCTGGTTCCTTGAGTCAGTTCCCTACATGGTCTCCTGATTTTTCCTATGTAATGTCAGGTTATAAGTTATTAATCTCCTTTCCAAGAATAATGATATATCTTGGTGTGTTCAGAAGAAAACTTACATGAAGATGTAAAGCACCATTTTTGTAATTCAATTGGTCATCTATTTTCAGTTAAAACATAGTTCATTCTTTTCTTTAAAAAATTTTTTTTTACTCTTTATTGTTGATAAAACACCATTCTTCATGCAACTGTCCTAAGTATGAATTTAACATGCAAAGTGTTCCAATCTAATGGTAAAAACTTGTTATTATGAAATATTTTTATTATATGTTCTCATTTTAGATTCCCAATAAATGAAATTCAGGTAAAAATAAAATAATTCAAGTTGATTCTGTTTCCTAATATTTTTAAATAAAAGCTACTTATTAGTAGCTATTATAAAAATGAGTATGGTAAAATTTCTTAATTCTTAGACTTAATTTAAAGTTAAATATAAATGACTATGATGAGCTGATGATGTATAATCAAAAATAGAATATTATTATGCCAGTAGGATAATTTGATAGGCATGAAAATTGCTTAATATAACCTTACCTAATTTTTACAATTCATATTCACAAATACAGGGAGAACTCAGAAGCACCCAAATGTTCCTAAATCTTTTATATTTAGGTGATATTTAGGAGTTGGAATTTTGACACAGCTTACACAAAAAAATTCTCCTCTCTCTAATTAAAAGTATTACCATTAGATACCTAGTAATGATTTTACCTAACTTTTACCCAAAATGATATTAGTGGTATCATTTATTTCAAAAAGGAAATTTATTACACTATATCACACAATATAAGTGAAATAAGAAAATTCGGAAGTATTAGAAGAAAAGGTATAATTGCTATTCAAACTTTGCTTGATATCTATTTCTCTTGCTTTTTTTTTTCTTTTACCTCTTCTTGTTTAATGCATGGGTAATTGTGCGCTAACAAATCTGATTCCTTCCGAAATACTTCTTGGTCTCTGCCTGCCTTAACTCTTGTCTAAGTGCCATTTCCACAGATTTTCCTTCTTTGGCAGAAGCCTCACTTGGCCCTGGGCTCCCCAGTCATGAACAGTGCACTGTGCCCAAAGGGGCAGACGACATCTCTCTCGTGGAGTGCCCTGAAACGCCCGAGGCAGCCGCAGCATCTCTGACATGTAGGTGACCGGGCCTTTCTTGAGATGTAAGATGAATGAAATCAGTGGTTCTGCAGCATTTCAGTTCCTCTTCTATTTGGCTTTCTTCTTCTGTGGCGAACTATTTGAACTTTATTACTTAACTATAAAAAATACATGTTTTTCTTTCTTGAAGTTCTCTTTTGTTACCTAGGCATGGCTTATTTTCTGTAGTATTGCTTTTGATTGGGATTTTTATATTTAAAATGTGGGAATTATTTTGTGACCAGTGGCAAAACTTTATAGTTAGGTAATACTTGAATGTTATAAATATTTTCTCAATTTTTCAGTGACTCAGAAAGAGTCCTTATCACCTCAAGGTGGTTATTTAAAATTAGTATATTATCATACACTGCTTATAGGAATGTACAATCGTGTGGCCAGTTTGGAAAATAGTTTGGCATGTTTTTGTTTGTTTGTTTTAAATAAAATTTAAGCATTTGTTTTCTATATGACCCAGCAATCGCACTCCTAGCTATTTTCTCAAGAAAAATGGAAACTTATGTGCGCACACAAACTTCCTTGTGAACTATTATAGAATTTTTATTCATAATTGCCAAAAGCAGGAAACAATTCAGTGTCCCTAAACTGATGAATGAATAAAAATAACTGGTTGGTCCATACATCAGAATACTAACATCTATCTGTAAATAGGAATTAATAACTAATTCATGCAACAACATGGATGAATCTCAAATGTATTATGTTAAATGAAGGAAGCCAGATTAAATGGCTAGATGCTGTATGGTTTCACTGACATACTGTCTGGACATAGGAATAATAATTACCAGGAATTGGGATTAGGGAGTGGGGTTGATCACAAAGAACATGGATTGTTTTGTGTGTGTGTTTTTAATCCTCATCCAAGGATATGTTTTTATTGGTTTTTAGAGAGAGAGGAAAGAAGAGAGAAAGAAACATTGATGTGAGAGAGAAATATTGATTGGTTGCCTCCCATATGCGCCCCAACCACGGATTGAACCCACAACCTAGGTATGTGCCTGACCAGGAATTGAACCTGGAACCTTCTGATGTATGGGGTGATGTGCCAACCAACTGAGCCACCAGACCAGGTTCAAGGCAGGGGGATTTTGGATATTGATGGAATTGTTCTAAATCTTGATTGTGCCGGTGGTCATACAACTATATATCTCTGTCAAAACTGGATATTCCAACATATATTCCAAAAGTGATGAATTTTTTTAAAAATATGTTTTATTAGTTTTTTTACAGAGAGGAAGGGTGAGGGATAGAGAGTTAGAAACATTGATGAGAGAGAAACATGGATCAGCTACCTCCTGCACACTCCCTACTGGGTATGTGCCCGCAACCAAGGTACATGCCCTTGACCTGAATCGAACCTGCGACCCTTGAGTCTGCAGGCCAACGCTCTATCCATTGAGCCAGGGCTCCAAAAGTGATGAATTTTACTGAATGTAAATTTTACCTCAGTTTTTAAAAATGAAAAAGAAAACAACTCTGTCTGGCAGCAACTACAATAACGTCTGGCCTAGTTAGCACTTTTTTTTCTGAATGAATTTTAAAACAGCAACTCACCAGGCTAGATTTAATGTAATATAATTCTACTAGAGGCCTGATGCATGAAATTCATGCAAGAGTAGGCCTTCCTTCCCCCGGCTGCCGGCACTGGCTTCCCTCCAGCACCCAGGACCCAGGCTTCCCTCTGAGCCCCAGCTTTGTCCAGAAGGATGTTTGGAAGGACAAAAACATACTAGGATCCTAAAAGTAGTGAAACTTTAAGCTTTAATAACTTATAAGTAAAATGCTACAAACTTAGAAAATCATCTTCTGAAAGTTAATACTTACATTTCATTTAATGTACTATATTTTGTGAGTTTTAAATAATTTTAAATATTTTCTTTTTCAATTTTGTTATCTAATTGAGAAGGACTGGAAAACTTAAAAAACTATTCGAACTATATAAAGCTAAGTAAGTAAAAAAGAAATGTCAATAATCACACTTTTAGGTTATGTTTTTATAATATTTTAACATTTATATTTTGGATGTTGTTAAATCTTCACTAAGAATTTGAGCACTGTTGTTTCCACATGAATATTCTTCCTCTATAACTTTTGGAGCTGAAATATGATAGTTGTGATGTAACGTTTGTGAAAATTATTCATCTTTCACAGCCCTTAACCCATTTTTTTTATTGTAGTCCTCAAATATAGCCATCATATACGTCTATTAACCCATACAAAAACAAACTTGATTTAATACTTTTTAAAGCTTGAGGAAATTTGTACTAGCTAATCAACCAACTGTGAAAGCTATTTTGGATTAGAATTTTTTAAAAGGAATCACAGACTTTTCTATGACATTTAATAAAAGGAAGTCTAAATAACTTTAGAATTATATGTTTGAGATAATCTGATTATATGTTAACATAATTATTCATCATTAGAAAAGTATTCCACTATTAGTTTTGAACCAGAATTTAAGAGTCTAGCTAATTTTTATTTTAAAAATTCCTTCTTTGCCAGGATTGTATAGCATGAGTGAGGCAAATTAATATTTAGGATTCTATCTTCATTTCTTTGTAGCTGGAGTAAGCTCTGATTACAGTCTTGAGGAGATAGAAGAAAAGGAAGAACTGAGTGAAATGAATAAAGATGAGGATGAAAAAGT